GGAATACCTTGTTCTTATGCTCGCTCTTAGACTCTGCTACCAGCCACTCAAGACGAGATACCAGGTGAGAGCAGCCCCATCTCGCCCAGGGAGACTGATCTTAACTGGACACGCACGCACGGAGGGAAGCGGGGCAGTGGGGCAGGGAGCAGCTCTCGCCTAGGACAGCCCAGTGGGGTCACGCTGCTGGAGGGCCTGCAGAAAACGCTTTCCCCTCCCTGTCCCTGCCACCTCTGGGGATGTCCCCAGTCCAAACACCCGGCAGAGATGGCGGAGAGCCATGGAAAACAGGATTTGTGCCAGGAGGGACAAGACCATCTAGGCCATCTCTTCGCGAGGGAGGATCTCAGCATAGCTTCCCACGCAGGACGGGGGAGGGACAAGGACAAACCCGTTTAGTGCTCAAGTCCTCGGTGGCTCTGAAGCAGTCCGTACACAGCTGTGTCTCCCAGAAGAGACACACACCTAGTGCGAGCACAGCCAGGTACTTAGCACCAAGGCTTTAAAGAAGCCAGGCAGTAACACCTGCCTCTTCCTACCACAGCTCCAGCGCTGCCAGGAGGTCAGCATTGGTCTTACAACATCCACATCTCCTGGCCATGTTTGCATTTAAATAAGAGCTCTTGAAAGGGAGTCCCAAGCGGAGCCAAACACTGCCCTGTAGCCCAGCAAGGGTCAGGTTACATCAGAAATGTTAGATGCAAAGGCACGAGTACCCACCTCCAGCGAGGCTGCTCTGGTAGGTCTCCAGCGCTGGGCTTTTCTTAAGAGACTGCTCCGAACCCTCCCCAGAAGCCAGCAAGGCTGACCCTCCCCTTCTGCAAGGTCAGCCCTTTAGCTGCATTACCCACAGCCTTGCTTTTGCACAGCTGTGGCCACTCCAGCACCCCAAAATTGGCCAGGTCCTGGGGCCACGCTCCCAGCACCTGGAGCACACAAGCCTTTACCACCAGTGCTTAGGAGACATCCAAGGACAGCTACAGCAGGAACATGCTCTAGTGCCTCATCCACACCGTGCCACTGGATGTCCCCCCCTCTCCAGGAAGCCACCCCCAACCTCATGCCATTTTTTCCTGGACGCAAGCCATCTCCCGCTCGTTCACACCAACATGTCCACGGAGCCTTCTTCCTATGCCACCAGCAGAAGGGAGCCCCGCGCCATCCTGCTGAGGACAGGGACAAGCTCTGCAGCAGCATCCCAAAGGCAGCCCCCGCTCCAGGCAGCCACCCTGAGCTCCCAGCAGCTCAGGCACATGGGCTACGGCACTTCCCATGGGAGACCATCCCAGTGTGGTGCCTCTCAGGCACCCGGGGCTGCCGGCAGAGCCGCAGGGAGGATATAGAGCCCCGGCCACCGCGATGCAGCTAGGGCCACTTGACGCGAGGCTGCTGGAATGCAGCGAGGCTGCTGGCTGCCGCAGGAGCCGGGACTTATAAGGCACAGCAGCAAAAGACGGGGAGGCGAGCTTGCAGAACAGGGCTGCAGGGAGGGAAAAGCTCGGGAGCCCAGCCGCGGGGCTTAAAAATGGGACAGCACCCTTGTCTCACTGCCCCATGTAGGACGTGGGGCTGCAGGGTTCCTGCCACTGCGCCAGGTGGACCCAGCCCTGGGCAGTTTTGCTCCTCAGCACATCAAACTCCCAGGAAACACAGGGGAGGGGAAAACTGGGGGAGAGAGAGATATGGCTGGTCTGTGCTAGGGACAGCTCGGCGGGAAAGCAAGGCAGCCTCAACACCATGGAGCGTGCCGCCCAAGGGGAAAGGGCTTGCTAACAGGCTCCTTCACCACTCCGTGCCTCAGTTTCCCCACCACCACCACCAGAGCTCAACACCAGAGAGGCTGCATGAGCTGGCTGCCTGCTTGCAATTCCAGCACTGGCAGAGCCCCCATGTCCTCAGGCAGCTCACGGGGCCGGCAGGCAGGGTAGCACTGAGCCCCAGTGCAGGATCAGACCAGGAGCTGCTCCAGCCAGGAAGCCCCAAGCAGCCACAGAGCATCCCCCCGACACCGGAAAGATGTTCACCCATCCCCAGAGGGGAAAGAGGGCCCTGAACCTCCCCCAGCACTTGAAGCAAGGAGGGCTTCAGGCATTTCCCTCTGAAATCAGCCTTTTGCATGAAAGGCACCCAAGGACCAACATCCTGCTCGCCCAGAGGGGAGGAAGGCAGGCTGACCACAAGCAAGCCCAAGCGCACAAGCATCTTGTCCCCAAGCCTGGGGTGTTTCACATGTGACACTGCTTATAGCTTGATCAGCCCCTCCCCAGCATTGCTCTTCCCCCATGTCAGGCAGGGGGATGTCAACGGGGCTCAGCCACCCCTGCGGTCAGGGCAGGAAGGCGTTCGAGCGAGGGGGAAGCAGGGAGAGGCACCAGCCCCTGCCCGGGGGAGCAGGAAGCACATGGGAGCTGATAAGTCCAGGCACAACGAGGTAGCACCCAAGAATAGTCCATGGCCCCCACGGAGGAAGTGCTGCTGGTGCAGCTCTGCAATGGAGACTCCCCCCTGCCCCCCGCTATGGAGTCCCATCCCCTGTCTCTCTGCAGGATCTCATGGAAAGGATGGCACCCAGGGGGACTTGGGCCACAGCAGGGGTTCAAAGCTGTTGAAACATCTGGGGAGGCCAGCCCCACAACTCCCAGGAGATTACTGTCCCCATGGGGCAGTTCCCCAGCTCAGGGAGATGCTGGTTGAGCATCCGCAGGATGCCATCGCAGCCTTCCACCTTGCCCAGAGGTCTGCTAAGCTAGAGGAGGCATGCACAAGTATCACAGCCAACATGCTGAAGGATGCTCACATCCATGCTTGCACTACCCAGCCCACTGCACTAAGCCCCTGGCTCCAGAGACCCAGCAGCACATCTGCCACCCTCTGATGTTCGGGGACCTACAGACACCTTTCACCATCAGCTGG